AAAAAAAAAAAGAAAGAAAATGATGATGGCAACAATTGTACAATTAGGCTTAATCTAACAGAACTATGGATTGTAATAATATCTGTAAGAGTTCCCAATAAAATGTTTTTAAAAATAAAATAAACAAATAGCTAAGCTTAGTAATGATTGAATTTTAGGGGAGAACTAGACATATTTTAAAACAGAGAAATAGTTACAAATGTATCCAAATAACCTGGTGGTTTATAAGCCTTACATGCCAAAATTCTGTACTTTTAAACACACCTTTCGTTTTGGGTCTTGTCACCTATTAAAGAAAATTATCCCCAAAGACTCATAGGTGGGAAAGAGAAGGAAGACTTCTATGGCCTTTACCCAGCATCATTATGAATTGATCTTGGCCAACCATCTTCCATATAATTTATAAGAATGAAAGTATGAGGGGGAGATTTTGACTGGCATATGCCAAGGAATTTATTTCAAAGGACTCACTTTTTGCTTCAGGGAATCAAGAAGTATTTGTTTAGTTTTCAGAGCTCCATAGTTTAAAAAACTTAGCTCTCTCTTTAAAACTCCCCTATCTCAAAGGGTTGTCTTGGCTCTAATTTATTCAGATACAATCTCATGGCATAAAAGGTCTGGAATCTAAGAAATCACTGTCTTTGAGCAGGATAATATTAGACCAAAGATTACATAAAAATATGACTCTTTTTCTCAACCCACAGGGCTATTCACAGCAGACTAGGAAGGAGGGTAGCTTTTGCCTAAAGACTTAGGTAAGTGAGCCCTTAAAAAGGAAAATCCGAAGTTGAATTTAAGGTAGAGTCGGGAAAGAACTGAATCACTCCACGAAGAAAGTGGAAGGGATTCACTTTGGGCTTCTGAGAGAAGAAAATTGAGGCAAACCATGTGACTCTTCATAAATTCCTAGATCAAAATTGCCACGCATGTGTTATTCCTATTAAAGAATTGTGAGGATGAAAGTAGACTCTGTAAGAAAACAATCAACGATGGCAGAAGTCTATCTTATGTAGACCGCAAGGACCAAGGTAATGTGCATGATCATCGATAGATCTCTTGAAAATGAAAATGTACAGTTTTCCAGCGCATTGCCTTCTGACATTAAAAAGATCACAATTCCTTCCTTTCGTCCCTCTAAGCAGCCATCTCTTCAGAAGGCTCCATTATTGTCATTCATGGGAAAAGGATCCCTCACTAAACATAGGAGACCCATAGCCGTTTGTGGGAGCTCACCTAGCATAGATGTTAACAATGTCAGGGTCTAGGAAACATGACTCACAGTGACAGTGGCCTGGAAGCCCTCAGGCACATTGGCTTCACTGATGCCGATGAGGAAGATGATGGAGTCCAGGACCGGATACTTCATGGAGATAGCAATGAAGAAGAAAGCAAGGCCTATGGAGACAGCCACTCCTGCCACAACACGAACAAAATGCTCAATCTCAATGGCAAGGGGGGTCTTCTCATTTCCAACTCCTGAAGCCAGGGAGGCAATTTGTCCAATGACGGTACGGTCACCCGTGTTGATGACCATGCCAGTTGCTGAGCCTATAGGGGAAGTAGACATTTTATTCCAGGGGTTCTTGACTGTGAAGGAAATAACATCTCTTTTATAGTCTTCTCTTTGATAGCTTACAAGATACAGTAGTACATGACAATGCAAGGCAAAAATCGGTCTCTAAGCGATTGAATTTCATGTTTTCTCTGGGAAAAGCTTTGTAGCAAGAGATAGTAAAAAGACCCAAAAGCATGATTTCTCCCAAAAGACCTTATGGGAGGGAAAAATGAATCTGGTCCTAAGAACCACCTGGACTGACCTTCCAGGCAGGTTGAAGAAAAGAAGACAATGTTCTTTGTTTCCAAAAGATTGTCATGAGTGCATTCGCAGGTCCGGGGCTGTGGCTCCGATTCCCCTGTGAGTGATGAGTTATCCACCTAGAAGATATTTTTTTTAAATGCTCAAAATTGGGCTTCTTGCCCGAGTTATACTGAAATTGGTAAAGGCAATAGAATATCAACGGGTGAGGGGCTGATCCTTACGGGTGCCACACGATGCTTACCTTGCACCCCTGAGAAGACAGCAATCGGAGGTCTGCAGGAATCTGGTCTCCTCCTTTAATCTCCACTATGTCCCCCACCACCAGCTGCTCTGCGGGGATTGTCTTCTTCTCCCCGTCTCGGATGACAAGAGCTTGCTGGGGGAGAAAAGCAGGACAGGTGTCTCAGATCCTGGACCACTGCGAAGCCCCCTCCTTCAGTCAGACCTCTCCGAATCTCAGACAGGAACAGATGAGAAGCCATGGAGGTGAGAATAACCACAAATAAAGAGGGTTTGCTACACTTGAGGTCCGAAGACCCAGAACTAGTTTTGTTCTTCAGAACAAACTAACTCATAGCGATACTCTTGAAACCAGAAGCCTGATGGAAGTGGAGTGATGATTAAGTCTGAAAGACATATGACTGTCAACATTCGGGGAAACTACTGAAGGTGATTTTTTTTTCTTATCATAGTGAATGAAGGGGGGAGTGCAGAGTGGAGACCCAAAGCCCATTTGTAGGCCACTGGAGATCCCCTTGCAGAGGGGTATGGGGAGGAGATGAGCCAGTCAGGGTGTGATGTAACAACGATGAAAAATACAACTTTCCTCTAGTTCCTAAATGCT